TCCAATTGTTTACTGGAACTTGTTTTCTTCTTTCTGATGCTCAACACTGGCCGCTTTGTCCAGAATTTCTGGTTTCCACTACATATGAGAACGGATTTTACTTGACACTAGTCACCCTCTTTCATAAGCCTCAGTTTGAGGACTGGAGTTTTGCTATTACATGCGAATGGGTGTTCTGAAGGTGTGGGCCGGTTAGAGAGAAAACGCTCCCCATTGTTTGAATGCAGTCTTGTTTGAACAGCCAGGTCTCTGCTCTCTCTTTTGAGATTGTGTTAAGTGTCTTTAGCAGAATTCATGTCACGGAGCTCAGGTGTGTGTATTCTTCTTGTGGAAGGATACACTTAGGTTTTTCATCATTCTCCTGGAACACAGTGCCCCCTGGTGGTTCTTCCACCTCTGCTGAGGGCCTGAGATCCTGCTGGTGGCTTAGAGAAGACAGGGTTCTTAAGGAGCTTTTCTTTCTCCAGGCTGCCTTATTGCCTTCTTAAGCTCCTATTCTAAGAAGTTTTCAAATGTTCTCAATTCATTCTCTGCCCTGTCTACGGCCTTTGAGGAGTGGAGAGAAGGATGAGGATTAAACTGCATGCTGGAATCAGTTTCTTCTCAAAATGTGTATTGTAAGGTACTTGGCATATGTGGATGCTGCCAGTGAATCCATTGCTGGTTGTGTCAGAGGATGGTAATTGTCTACTCTTATTCCATCTTCTTCCTTTCTTCCCTAAGAGCAAGGCATTTGTTCTTCTGTAGGGTAATAGGCCGCTCATCACAGAAATCAAATGTGGCAGCAGCTGTGATAGTAGTCATGCTACCTTTGCCATTGTTTTCTCCTCTTCTACCTCCTGCTGACCTAACACCAGGAGGTGATAGGACTCCAGCCGTCAACTTAGACCCTGAAAACAAAAGTCACACTCAGATGAAGTGGTGAAAAGCTGAAAAGCTGGCATAAGCCTGGGCATTGATAGTCCCATGAACCCACCAAAGTTCTCTCACGTGGGAGAAAATAAATAGTACCTTATTAGGTAGACGACTATGTAAGGCTTTTATCACTCGAACTTAAACATAATTCTAAAACTCTGTTCGTTTTGCTGCGGTGGGCAGCGAGTTAAGTATTAGCTAAAGAGAAGGGAGCCAGACATCTAATTAAGCCAGATTAACTATTGAGTAGGAAGCTCCAGTTTCAGACACCCCAGGGGACAGCTGCATCCTTCGCCAAAGGGAAGTTAAGTCCCCAGCGGACAGGAAAGACAGCTTTCCGGTCTCCCCAGGGTTTAACCAGCCCTTCACCTGCATCACCAAGGGAGGGATAAACAGCAAAGGGGAAATTCCTCTGCTGGGTACATGTGCAATAGAGGCCAAGGTAGCGCAGGGAGTGGCGGGGTCGGGCGGGGGGGGGGGGGGGGGGGGGGGGGGGGGGGGGGGGGGGGGGGGGGGGCGGGGGGAGGCTAGCCTGGGAAAATCTGGGGAAAAGACAGGACAGAATAAATGCACAAAACACAGGAAGATCCAGAAAAAGGGTTGGATAGGGAGAGGCACCTGAATAGCCCCAGGAAGAATTAGAAAGAGGATTAGTTAGTTTGAATGAACCCAGGGAGATATAATCAAAGCTGAAGAAAGGTCTGCAGGCCTGTGTGTGGCAGTCCTATGGGCCAAGTCCAGCACGAAACAGCCAGAGCAGAGAGGAGAGTAAGGTAGAATCCTGGAGCTTCCGATGCAGATGCTGAGTCATGACACAGCAGCTCTGGGTCCTGGGCCTCCTCCTGGGCCTGGTGAGGCCAAGGGCAAGCCTGCCTCCCTAGAAGCCTTGCTGGGCTTCTTCAAAAGCAAAGTGGAGCTATGCCACCTGGTCATGGATGAGGCAGTCCTTTGTTTTCACTCCAGCAAATCTTACCACTGTGCCTCAAATCCTTCCCTGTGTGGATCCCTGATGTGCTTTTCCTGTGAAACTGTGGAAGAATCTTGTTTCCAGAATGGTCTGGCAGACTAGCATAGGTCCTTTTCCAAGTCCAACAACAGTTTTACTAATTAATGTGACAATGTTGAATTAGGGGGATTCTGTGATCCAACCTTGTCCCTCCATTATCATGCCATGCTTATATTTGTATGGTGATTTGTGATTTTAAAAGTATTTCCACATATAGACATGTAGGTTTAGATTCATAAATAGTATCTATACTAATAAAAGGATAATGTGCAAATTGGTCAGGACGCCTTCCCACTAACAACTGAACAGCATGCTGCATGGGGTGACAAGGCCAGCAGAGGGGTTAGAGAGGTACGACCAAATGACTGACCAACAGGTTGAGTGGGGTGACCGGGCCAGCAGGGGTAGAGGGTAAGGAGTGAACAAGCCAGCAGAGGGGGACAGTGAGGGGTGACCAGGCCAGTGGGGAGGGGTAGTTGGAAGTGACAAGGCCTGCAGGGGGCAGGGGCAATTAGAGGCAACCAGACTAGCAGAGGAAGACAGTTGGGGGTGACTAGGCCGGCAAGAGGGGAAGTTAGGGACAACCAGGCTGGCAGAGGGGGTCAGTTGAGGTTGACCAGCTAGCAGCGGGAGCAGTTAGGAGCCAGCAGTCCCAGATTCTGAGAGGGACAACTGCCAGTTTTGGACATCCCCTGAGGGGTCCCAGAGTGGAGAGGGTCCAGGCTGGGCTGAGGGGACACCCTCCCCCCCCGTACATGAATTTTATGCATCAGGACTCTAGTACATATGTATTTTTGTTAAATTCTCAAACATTTTTTCATAAAGTTGTTCATAATATTCCCTTAATATGTTCTAATCTCCTCTATCTCTGTATTTGTCTATTTTTCATTCCTAATATTTGTTTGTTTGTTTGTTTGTTTTTAGCGATTTCACAAAGTTTCTTTATTTTTAAATTTTGCAAAGACTCAACTTTTGTCTTTTTTAGTGCTATTTTAGTTCTGTTTCCTATTTAATTAATTTCACTTCTTACCTTTCTTCACTTAGCACAATACCATCTAAGTCCATCCATGCTGTCACAAATGGTAAGATTTTATTCTTTTCTATGGCTAAGTAATATTCCATTGTATATATGTACCACATCTTCTTTATCTTGTTGTCTATTGATGGACACTTAGGTTGCTTCCATATCTTGGCTATTATAAATAACTAGAAGTCCAGTAAACAAAATTGATGCACCAAGGATGGGGGTGTCCCTCAGCCAAGCCTGCACTCTCACAGTCCAGGATCCCTTGGGGGATGTCCACCTGCTAACTTAGGCCCGCTCCTTAGGACATCCCTCTCACAATCAGGGACCCTTCTCTCCTTACCAGCGCCTGTTTACTGCCCCCTACTGCTCGGCTTGATGCTCCTTAGCACTGCCACAGAGGTGCAAGAGGCTCCCACAACCACCACTGCGCTCACCAGCTGTGAGCCAGGCTTCTGGCTGATCAGTGCTCCCCGTGTGGGAGCTCACTGACCACCAGGGAGCAGCTCCTGCATTGAGCATCTGCCCCCTGGTGGTCAGTGCACATCATAGTGACTGGTCATTCTAGTTGTTCTGCCATAATGGTCACTTAGGCTTTTATTATATAGACGAGAGGCCCAGTATAAGAAACTTATGCACTGGAGGGTGGGGTCTTTCAGCCCAGCCCGTACCCTTTCTAATTTGGGACCCCCTCGGGGGATGTCTGACTGCCCATTTAGGCCTGATTCCTGTGGGCCAAGTCCCCCACAACTGCCCTCCTCTGCCAGCCTGGTCACCCCTAACTGTCATTCCCTGCTGGCCTAGTTGCCCTCAGTTGCCCTCCCCTACAGGTCTGGTTGCCCCCAGTGCCCTCCCCTGTAGGCCCAGTCACCTCTAACTGCCCTCCCCTACAGGTCTGGTTGTCCTTAACTTCCCTCCCCTGCAGGTCTGGTCACCTCCAACTACCCTCCCCTGTAGGCCTGGTCCCCCCCAAATGCCCTCCTCTTCAGGCCTAGTCCCCCCCAACTGCCCTCCTCTGCCAGCCTGATCACCCCTAACTGCCCTTCCCTGCAGGCCTGGTCACCTCCAACTACCCTCCCCTGAAGGCCTGGTCCCCCCCAACTGCCCTCCCTCCCCTGAAGGCCCAGTTGCTACCAACTGCCCTCCCCTGCTGGCCTGATTGCACACAATTGCCCTTCCCAGCTGGCCATCTTATGGCAGCCATCTTGTGACCACATAGGGGTAGCCATCTTTGACAACATGGGGGCAGCCATCTTGTGCGAGGGCATGGTGGTCAATTTGCATATTGCCTCTTTATTATATAGAATGCTGCAATAAACATAATAAAAATAAAAAGATGCAGATATCTTTTCAAATTAGTGTTTTGAATTTCTTTGGATAAATGCACAGAAGTGAAATTTCTGGGACATAGGCAATTCTATTTTTTAATTTTTTGAGATATCTCCATAATGTATTCTATATTTGCATTTTTCAATTTGTATTTTCTCGATTTACACTTTTTACTTTCATACTTTTGTTTACGATTTACATGAGGAAACCAAGGTAAGGCTGGAAAAAAAAAATCTATCTAAGGTCACCCAACTAAGAAGAGATGGAGCCAAAACTAAAAAAAAAAAAAAAAAAAAAAAAAAAAAAAAAAAAAAAGCTGAACAAACACAGGTCACCTGATTTAAAATTCCCTGTTATCTTTAATAATAATCACATTGAGTAAATGCCCAGTTTGTGCCAACTACTATACTAAGAGTTTTATATGTATTATCCCATTTTTTTGTATCATATTCTATTACTTCTTCAGTTCATACATGGCATTATTATGTGGTAGATGTTCTAACATACATTAAACAATAAGTGGAAAAATAAGAAAATCATTTGAAGGTAGTATTTTCTTTATTATATCAGATAAAGGGGACACTAAAGGCAAAACAGCTCCGGAATTGAAGGGGAAATTAATGGCTTTAAATCTAGGTTAGATGTGCACATGACTTCTTCCATTTCCAGCTGCTGCTGCGGAGTGCTGCAGGTCAGCCTGTCTGCACTCTGGCACCTCTTGGATAGAAAGAATGTGTGTGTTGCTATTTTTGAAACTGCTAAGGGTGATAGGGACAGTTCCCTGATGTGAAACTCATCAGAAATGCAACTCCTTTATTTAACCTACAATCTCAGCCATTTATGAAACTACTGGTTTGATATCAGAGCCTCAAATAATACTTCTCAGGAAGCTGCTCCAAAGGCCAGATTCCATGGAAGGAGAGGGCCTCTTTTTTGTTTTTCCTTTTTTTAATTCTGTTCGGATCATACCTGATGGCAAGACTCCCAAGTCTCCGAGATTGCCTCTCTTCAGCAGACATGCAAAATACACAGAATAAGGTCTGTTTGAATAACCATGACACTTCTTCACTTTTATCTTTCTTTTTTGTTTCTTATTTCTTTTTAATATTGACTTCAGCGAGGAAGAGAGAGGGAGAGAGAGAGATAGGAAACATCAATGATGAGAGAAAATCATTGATTGGCTGCCTTCAGCACACCCCACAATGGGGATCAAGCCCACAATCCGCCCTGGATGCTGCTAAAGGAGGGGCTGGGGCCTGGGTCACTGGGGGGCATGGCCAGCCTGAAAATGGCCCTTATTCCCTTACCCAGACTGGCCACACCCCCATGGGGTAAGGATCCCCGCTGGGAGCCTTGACCAGCCTGCAAACAGCCCTCAGCCCCTCACCCAGGCTGGCCAGGCACCCCAGCGGGAACTCCCACCCTGAAGGGGGTGTGGCCAGCCTGCAAACAGCCCTCAGCCCCTCACCCAGGCTGGCCAGGCACCCCAGTGGGAAACCCCACCCTGAAGGGGGTGTGGCCAGCCTGAAAACAGCCCTCAGCCCCTCACCCAGGCTGGCCAGGCACCCCAGTGGGAAACCCCACCCTGAAGGGGGTGTGGCCAGCCTGAAAACAGCCCTCAGCCCCTCACCCAGGCTGGCCAGGCACCCCAGCGGGAACTCCCACCCTGAAGAGGGTGTGGCCAGCCTGCAAACAGCCCTCAGCCCCTCACCCAGGCTGGCCAGGCACCCCAGTGGGAAACCCCACCCTGAAGGGGGTGTGGCCAGCCTGAAAACAGCCCTCAGCCCCTCACCCAGGCTGGCCAAGCACCCCAGCGGGAAACCCCACCCTGAAGGGGGTGTGGCCAGCCTGAAAACAGCCCTCAGCCGCTCACACAGGCTGGCCACACCCCCATGGGGTGAGGGTCTCCACTGGGCTGGGGGGGCTTGGACAGCCTTCAAACAGCCCTCAGCCCCTCTCCCAGGCTGGTCACACACCCCCAGTGGGGACCCTCACCCCATTGGGGTTTGGCCAGCCTGCAAACCATCACCGTCCCCTTGCCCAGGCCGCCCGACACCCCAAGGGAACCCCCACCCTGATCCCGGACACGCTCAGGGCAAACCAGCCAGCCCCCACCCTTGCACCAGGCATTTATCTATACTAATAAAAAGGTAATATACTAATTAGACTGGGAGACTTTCCAGGAGATCTTCCAGACATTCTTCTGGACAAAGCAATGGTGGCTAGGCTGAGGTAGAGACAGTTGGAAGCCAAGAGGGAAGGGCAGTTGTGGGTGATCAGGCCAGGATAGGACAGCAGTTGGGGTGATCAGACTGGTTGGGGGGGCCGGTGGGGAGCAGGGAGGAGTTGGAGGTGAGCAGACCAGCAGGGGGCCAGTTGGAGGTAAGCAGGCCATCAGTGGGGGTCATTTGGAGGTGATCAGGAGGTGGGGGGGGGGACAGTTTGGAATGAGCAGGCCAACAGAGGGGCAGCTGGGGGTGAGCAGGCCAGTGGGAAGGGGAGGTGGGGTGGAGCAGGCCAGCAGGAAGGGCAGTTGGGAGCAAGCACACTGACAGGAGGAGCATTTGGGGGTGATCAGGCTGGCTGGGGGGCATTTGGGGGTGAGCAGGCCGGCGGCGGCATGGGGCAGTTGAAGGCAAGCAGGCCGACAGGCAGAGTGGCTATGGGCAACCAGGCAGGCAGATAGGTGAGCGGTGTAGGAGCCAGCAGTCCTGGATTATGAGAGGCATGTCCCTATAAACTGGCAGTAGAAGATTCTTTGAGGGGTCCCAGATTGGAGAGGGTTCAGGTTGGGCTGAGGAACACTCCCCCCCCCCCCGCCCCCATGCATGAATTTCGTGTATTGGGCCACTAGTTAAAGAATAATCTTTTATTTTATTTTATTTATTTATTTAAATATGTTTTATTGGTTTTTTACAGAGAGAAAGAGAGAGGGATAGAGAGTTAGAAACATCAATGAGAGAGAATCATCGATCAGCTGCCTCTTGGACACCCCCTACTGGGGATGTGCCCACAACCAAGGTATATGCCCTTGACGGGAATCGAACCTCGGACCTTTCAGTCCACAGGCCGATGCTCTATCCACTGAGCCAAACCGGTTTTGGCTCAAAGAATAATCTTAACACTGGTATGAATTATCGTTAAACTTTCAAATTCCATCTCTTTCCCAGCTGCACCTCCACATCCCCTCGTCACCTGTCTCCATGTAGGCCCCCATGTCAGTGTAGACACGCAGAGAACACCGCTCCCTGACGGGTCCCTCTTTTCCCTTTTCTTACTCATGGCTCCTCTGGGATTCTCAGACTTGTCTTCTACCTGACTTTGACATCTCTCTTAACAAGTCAAAACTGTGAGAGCACAAATCCTGCCATGGAAAACAGGCAGGCTTTTGGGGAAGGAAATGGCATTCCTAGTGGGTATTTGACAGGGCTGGCTTTGTAAATAATCAGTTATTTCACGTGCAAGGCTGTTTAAGGAGGTAGGTAGGGGGAAGGAGAGTCAGTTGCCAGGGAGTTTTAATTAGAACAAAGGTCACAGCTGTGCCGCACATGTTTTTGTAAGATACGATAGCTAATTGTTAGGCAGTTAGATTGTGTTTATTTCAGACTGTCCGGGTTTTTTCTTTTCTTCTTTCTGGTTCAATGAGACAGTGTAGTGCATCTTCACAGATCGCTGACCGTTGCTGGAAGCGTTGTGATGATAACTGCGCTTAACGTTATTGGGTCGGAGTTTAAATAAATTACACAGAGGTCAAAGAACACACATTTGGTGTTCTCCAAACAGCCCGAACCAGCGAATCATAACTTCTGAGAGGAAGGAAAATGTTTTTAAAGTACTGACACCCCCGTCTCACTGCTGACTTTTTCTTTGGGCATGCCATGTTTTGTAAAAACAAATAACACTGTAAATGACCCAGTCAATTTTTTTTAAGCTATCTGACAAATTTTTAGACACCTTTAACTAGATTAATACTATGTAATTTGTACTAAAACTCAGCTGATCATACACTTTGAGCTCTAATGCTGAACAATAAGAGTATAGGATTTGTGGTTAAACAGAGGCAGAAAAAGGCCCATCACTGAAACATGTTCACGTATATTTTTTACTTCTGTAGATTTTTTTAAAAGGTTGTAGTTTTTTTAAATCAGTATTATTTATTTATTTATTTATTTTTAAATATAGTTTTTTATTTTTTTATAGAGAGGAAAGAAGAGGGATAGAGAGTTAGAAACATCAATGAGAGAGTAACATCAATCGGCTGCCTCCTGCACACCCACCACTGGGGATGTGCCCACAACCAAGGTACATGCCCTTGACCGGAATCAAACCTGGGACCTTTGAGTCCTCAGCCCAGCACTCTATCCACTGAGCCAAACCGGTTAGGGCAATATCATTTTTTTAAACCTTATTGGAGCCATCTTGTCCAGTCCTAATCTGGGCTGGTTTGTTGACCAGGACCTGCCTTTTGGGGGAAGGGATCACTGGAGGTTGGCTGGCTTTGGGAGGTTGGCTTTGGGAGTGCACTGACCACCAGAGGGCAGCACCTGCATTGAGCATCTGCCCCCTGGTGGTCAGTGTGTACCATAGCAACTGATTGACTGATATTTCCAATCGTTCTGGTCATTCTGGTGGTTCAGTCGTAATAGTCACTTAGGCTTTTGTATATATAGATTGCCTTCATTGTGCAAAGCTCTTTAGTTTGATGTAGTTTCATTTGTTTATCTTTGCTTTTGTTATCTTTGCCTGAGAAGACGTCTCTAAAAAATATTGCTAAGCGTGATGCCAAAGAGTTCACAGCCTGTTTTCTTCTAAGAGTTTTATGGTTTCACATCTTAAATTTGTCTTTAATATGTTTTGAGTGTATTTTTGTACATAGTGTAAAAAATCATCTAGTTTTATTTTTTTTTTTTGAAGGTAGCATTCCAGTTTTCCCAACACCATTTATTGAAGGGACTGTATTTTCCCCACTGGGTATTCTTGCTACTTTTGTCATAGATTTCATTGATGAGTGCACCATACTGAAAATTAGAACTAAAATATATGACCAAACCAGTCTCTGTTGACATTTTTAATGATTTCAGAGAGGAAGGGAGAGGGAGAGAGAGAGATCAAATAGTGAGAGAGAATCATTTGATCGACTGCCTCCTGCATGCCCCACACTAGGGATTGAATCCACATCCCAAGTATGTGCCCAGATCAGGAATCAAACTCTGGCTGCCTGGTTCATAGGTCAACCTTCAGCCCCTGAGCCAGGCTGGCCAGGGCTCTGTTGACATTTTAAGCCTCTGAATAACCCCTCATTTAAGACTTCAATTACATGAATAGAAAATTTCCCTTTGTATTTAAGACAGTTTAAGTTCTCTATTATTTACAATTTCAAGTGTTTTAATTTATACCAGGCATTTAACTTCTGGTTTCAAAAAAATTCACCTAGCCGAAACCGGTTTGAATCAGTGGATAGAGCGCCGGCCTGTGAACTGAAAGGTTCTGGGTTCAATTCCGGTCAAAGGCATGTACCTTGGTTGCGGGCACATCCCCAGTAAGGGATGTGCAGGAGGCAGCTGATCGATGTTTCTCTCTCATCGATGTTTCTAACTCTCTATCCCTCTCTCTTCTTCTCTGTAAAAAATCAATAAAATATATATTTTTAAAAATTCACCTATTGATAGCAACTTAAAGGCAAAACAAAGACTGAAACCCAGGTATTTAGATTGCCATTCCTATAGACTTTTTGTTCAATGTTCTCAATGATCTAAAAGTCTCATTTTCATCTCCAATCATAATTGTAGCTCCCTTTTTCAACTTGTGTATGATAATCTCAGACTCCTGTGCAAAACAGTTGGTTTTATTATTTGTTTCTTGGGGAAAATAATGTTTAAAAAAAACCACTAATATAGCAAACTATATAAAAGTGAAGCCTTCAATGGTTCCCTTAAAGCTATTCTTCTATTATAAGACATTAGTTAAGCATTTCATCTGAAGCAGGTTCTGCGCAAGAAATGGGGAAAATAAACCCCTCAGAGCCCGATTGTTGAAAAAGGAAATGAATATATAATGACAGTAGGCATGTTAGATCTTAAAGGAGAGATAAGTGGAAAATGCTGTGGAGTGCTATAGGCTCTCCTACAGAAAGTGAAAAAAGCTTTCCACGAGGCATAGAATTTAAGTTTGAGTTATAGAGAGGTTTTACTTAGAGGTTTGGGAAGACTTGCTAGGCCAGAAAATTAGCACAAATATGAAACTGTACTTGTTTAATGAAAATGGTAGAAGATCACAAAGAAAAACGAGACATTATGTTCTTTACTAATTCATTAAGATCGAATGTGCATCTTACATATTTCATCTAAAAGGATACAAGCAATATATTTATAATCTCTTAAAAATTCTTTAATTTGACCTCTAATATTATTTTAGATAACTTCTACAGTATTCCAAATTCATGTAGAAAAAAAGGTATAATGTCACCAACACATCACAAATAGTTTCATAATTCTGTATGAGGCCAAAGATGGTTCTAGAAAAGAACAGAGTAAATGGAAATGGTGCAGCTGTACAAAGTGTGACCTAAAGGTAACTTACAGACCCACTTGCAGAAGACTATCTACCTCACTCATCTGCTGCTGAGCTCCTAGATGAATCTTCAAAATAAAGCCCTGGTTGGTGAAGCCTTTTCATTGGTGAAGAATGATGATGACTCTATTAGAGATTTTCAGAACCTAAAGGAAAGGAACAGAGTGGGTGGTCCATTGCTGAGGAGGGTGGACCTCACAGGGTCCATGTTGAAGTCTTGGAGTCTTGGGGTATGGAGGCCACAAAAGGCAACAGGAGGAGAACAGAGCAATCCAAGTTACTAGTTAGAGTTTATTCCTAGTAAGCAGCCATGAAAAGAAATGGTAGAATGGTAGAAAGTGGTTGGTTTGCACAGTTTAATTCAGAAAACTTTAAGGGAAGACAAAAGTTTTAGTGAGTGACACATTGATAAATACACACACACACACACACACACACACACACACACACACACACTAGAGGTCTGGCGCACGAAATTCATGCATGGGGGGGTGTGTCCCTCTGCCCAGCCTGCACCCTCTCCAATCTGGGACCCCTCAAGGGATATCCGACTGCCCATTTAGGCCCAATCCAGGACTGCTGGCTCCTAACTGCTTGCCTGCATGCCTTCCTGATTGCCCCTAACCACTTCCCTGCCAGCCTGATTGATGCCTAACTGCACCCCTGACAGCCTTTTGCTTCTAACTGCCCTCCCCTGCAGGCCTGGTCACCCCCAATTGCCCTCCCTTGCAGGCCTGGGTCCCCCACAACTGTCCTTCCCTACAGGCCCTGTCGCCCTCAACTTCCCTCCTCTGCCAGCCTGGTCACCCCTAACTAGCCTCCTGTGCAGGCTTGGTCACCCCCAACTACCCTCCCTTGCAGGCCTGGTCCCTTCTAACTACCCTCCCCTGCTGGCCATCTTGTCGTGGCCATCTTTTGTTCACATGGGGGCAGCCATCTTGTGTGTTGGAGTGATAATTAATTTGCATATTACTCTTTTATTAGATGGGATATATATATATATCCCTTTCAAGAGAGGGAATTTTTTAGGAAAAGAGCAAGAATAAGAGAATACTGAAAGTAGTTATATCTCTTTTTTTTCATTACACTTCTGGTTTCTTGGTACAAAATTAAATAGACCCCTATATTTTGAAATAAAGAAGAAAAAAAGTAAATAATACAGCTGACCCAGCAACATTACAAATGGAAACATGAGTCAAAGAGCTTGTGAAAATTGGGGGCTAGCCAAGCTATCCTATTCTAGATTATTTACAGTCAGTAAAAACTTATCTGCAATTCTAAAACTGCAGACTTCTGTTTTCTAATCTGAATAAGAAGCATCCTTTGCCACGGGTTTTGGAAGAAAACCACTGTTTTACATTACGTTTTTCTATTTATATTCACACACCTAGAGTTGGTGAAAGCTTAGTGGCTCGAAGACTCCTCTGATAAGAATAAGAATAATAGCTCTTTGAGCAATTACTTCATGCCAGACCTTGTTATAAATCAGTCACTTGTATGTGTGTGTGTTTAAGGTACCCTCCAACAAGACTAGGAGCTGTGATTATTATTTTTACAAATGTATAGATGGAATGCATTGGGCAGGGTGTCTTTTGCCCTATGCCACACAGTGAGTGATCGAACTGGACAAGAACCAGCAATGCAGACCCAATCTGCCCTCTGCCTGTCGGTTGGGTGGATATTTCTCCTTTAATCTGCTAATTTTTATATCCCACAGGCTCAAAGTGAATGTGATAACAACTGTAATTGTGTTTAGGAAATATTAATTATTATTTTCGGGTGGAACTAGGAATCAAGAAACCTGGATGTATAACCTCATTCTGTCCCAGACATGCCACATTCTCTTTTGATGTGTTCTTTTTTTAAAAAGTTTTTATTGTTTAAAATATTACATATATTAGTACATATATCTTTTGATGTGTTCTTCATACCCATCTGTCTTCAATTTTTTTCACCTGTACTTTAGAAATGTAATATTCTTTTAAAAACGCAAATAGAATAGGATCTTAGAACTATACTAGCTAAACTTGACTGAGTATGGTGTCAACCTTTCTGACATACTTGCAGTAATTGCAGGGCACCGTATCTTTTTGGCACTAAATTGCAGCCTGTGTTAACTTTCTATTTAAAAAAAAAAAAAGCATCTGGTTTGTCTCCATTTGATTTTATCTAATTTCAGGGCACATACCATGTCTTCTTTATTAGTATCTTTTGAAGTGACATGCGTCCTCAACGTAACAGATCCTCAATAAAAACACAACTCAAGTATGTTGCCCTTTGCCAACTTTAGTAGAATAGTAAAAGATAAAGAAATAATGTTTTCTATAAGGTTTGGAGTGTATTCCAAGGCTACTCATGGTTAGAATGTAAATGCCAGAAGAACGAAAGATGTTGATGGATTTTGAAGGGAGGGAGGTGTACATTCCTCAGCAGAAGCATGAAGAACTCATACACTGGCCTTGAGCAGCTGAGTAATCATTGCCCTGGCAAGTAAATATGTATCCATATTTATTTAGAAAGAGTACCAGTGATGAATCACACATCAAATATTATATATATACATATATATAATCAAATACTACATATACACATATATATCATACACATGGGACTACCTATGAGTGATTCCATTTTAAATAGTCCAACCATCACATTGTACATGCCCCTCTTTTCAATTGGAACAGGTGATTGCAAGATATAGAATTTGATTATGGAAGCTATTCTTCTTATTCATGTATTACTTTTCTTGGAGTTTAGGATACTTGTCCTCTTCCTGTGCCAATTTTCTTGGTACCTAAGGAGAGAGACATTTTTTGAAATATTTTTATTGATTTCAGAGATGAAAGGAGAGAGAGAGAGAGAGAAACATTAGTGGTGAGAGGGAATCACTGATTGGCTGCCTTCTGCACACCCCCAACTGGGGATCAAACCCACAACGTGGACATGTGTGCTGACCTGGAACTGCCCTGTGACCTCCTGGCTCACAGGTGGATATTTAGCCACTGAGCCATGCTGGGTGGGGCTGGGGAGGAACATCTTTATGCTTTTCTCGCTGGGCACCTCCCACCAAAATTTTCATCAGAACTTTGATGCACTGCATTAGTACACCTTTCCTCAGAAATAATGATTCTTAAGTATAATTTCCTATTTTCCCCCCAAAATATACCGTGTGTATTCGGTAGCTGCCTGTGGCTCTGGTTCTCCACAGGTTTAGTAGTTGTTTATTTTTTTTCTTCTTGTTTGCTTTTAGGCACTCATCACCCAAGAAGTGTTCCAGCTGCTTCTGAGCAGCCTCGCAGCCGTGGCCTGGGGCTCCACGTGCCCATGGCTGGGGGCTGCCTGTCAGCTAAGCTCTTATTTACAGCTGGTGGCGGCCTCCACACCTCTGACTTCCTTCCTGCATTCATACGAATTAATAGAATGTCAGCCCCCCCCCCCCCCCCATGCTCCTGCTGAAGTTTGAGACCCAGGTTTAAGTCACCGCGGAGGCTGCTCTTTGATCGTCCTCACAGAAGTTTCCTGGCGGAGGACAGCAGTTTGGTGGCAACAGAAATAAAACCCTCAGGTAAGCCCCGCGAGCTCAGCTATTTCCCACATCAGACGTGCTCCTGAAATGTTTAATGTCTTTCCTCCACCTGCCCTGGACCCAGCTTACTTTTCATAATGATGACTGGGCCTTCTCACCAAACAAA